GGAAAATCTTTCCATGTGCAGCGTTTCTTTCCTGGGGCTGAAAGAACCAGGGTAATCCCGGATGCTTCCCTGGAGCTGAGCTCATGTCGCAAATCAGGCATGATTTTCAGCAGATATTTCTTTAAAAGTTTGAAGGCCTCTGTGGACTCTATTCCCTTCTCGATCAAAGAGGCAGGAATAAGATGCTTTGCACGCACATCAGGAACTAATTGCCAATTTGGCAAATGCATTGGCTAATGTCATGCACTGTTATTTCTAAATCCTCGCCTGTCCTTGACCCCAGCATCTAGACGTAAACTTGGAACCATTAGTGAAGAAGGGTAAAGTCTTCTGGTGCCCCAAATGGCACTGAGAGGGATTTAAACTCAGCGCTTTTGAGTGTGGTGAAATGAACCCAGCAGTACATTAATGCTGGGATTTGAGCTCGCACAGCATGAGTGCTTTCAAAAACTGTGTTTAAGGAAGCAAACAGAGCCACGGCAGACCCTTTGAGTGGAGCAAAAGAAGCTGGATGAAACAATCAACGACACATTAAAAACCGCAACTGGGCTGCAATCATGTGGGCAGAAAAAAAGTTTTTCTTTATCACAGGATCTTTGCATCTAATGAGATGGTGACTGGGCAACCTCCAGAGGAGTAAGGCCTCTGTTTACTTTAGCTGAGAAATGTCTAAATATTTAGTTGAGTCTTTTAAAAGCCTTACAAGATTCTGCGGCAAACTTGCCTCTAAGGTATGTTCTTATTAGCTCTAGATTGCCATTGGAAAAAGTATTTAGAGGAAATTTAGAAAAGAAAAGCCAGAAGATATTACCATTAAAAACACAAATGTTGCCCTGGTCGGTGTGGTTCAGTTGGCTGCAGCACTGTCTTGCAAACCAAAAGGCCATGGGTTCGGTCAGGGTGCATACCGGAGGCAACTGGTCAGTGTTTCTCTCTCACATTGATGTTTCTCTCTCAAATTAATAAACATATCCTCGGGTGAGGATTGGGGGAAAAAAAAGCACAAATGTTAACTTATTTTTTTCTCTTAAAATTAACTATTTTTAACGTTCTCCAAATATTTAGTTTAGAACAAATGCCTTGCCCTTGCCAGTTAATACCTTCTCTTAATCGATTCTAAATTGTTACGTTTTACATATGCTTTACTCCTATTGGTTCTAGTTGGACCCAAAGTGCTTGAGGCTCAAAAGGGAAGGGACTCCTGAGTGCATTTTCTTGAGGGCTGGGAGAAAACTAGAAGGGCAAGGGAACTTTGTAAAAATGTCCATAGGGCCCCACCGTTTAAATTCACACCACTGTCTTGCTTTAGCAGATTTTAGCCAAGACCAACATCCGGTTTGCTCTAAGCTTCTGGGATCCTCTGTGCCATGAACCCAGTGCCTCTAGTTGGGGTTTTCACCTTTTTGGACTTTCTGATAGCATCCCTCTAGCATGCAGTCCTTTATCATTGCTTCCTGCGGACTCTTGTTAAGGGTCACCAAAACTGCTCCCCTCCCCCACGGCAGGAGGCCAGCTCAGCCCCTGCTCCCCGCCAGTTTGATTAATGTGTCTTGACTAATTGTGTGAAAGATGGCAGGCCTTTAGCAAGTGTGACCAGCTTATTGTTCAGCCAATCACAGGCGCCTCAGTTAGCATGTGAAAAGGGGGTGTGTTGCCAGGGGAGGGTGAGTGTTCTGACGGCGGAGTCAAAGGAGGAGCATTTTGGGGGGTCACAGAGCAACACCCACTTCTTTGAGGGGATGTTACTATGCTCTACTAAACCTGTAAACCTCTGGCTCAAAGCACTTTTTCCCTCCTCCCTCTTTTTTCAAGGAGATCTTTTTTTCCCATGGTGCAAGCAGGCAAGACACTGGCTACTCTGCACATGGAGTTCACGTTCCAGGGTTTTTAATATTTCACTTTTATATTTCTGTTAGAGAATGATCCTGCTGAGAGTCTGGGAATCTGTGCTCGTCAGAACCCCCTCACTGACACTTGGATATATTGCTCTGAAAGCTATCCCAGGAGAAAAGATTAAACAAAAAAAAAAAAAAAAGGAAAGAAAGAAAGAAAGCCTACTTTTCAAAGCCTACTTCTTAATCTACCCACATCAAAATAAGACAACTGGCCCTTTGAAGCAGAGGACACAGAGCTCTCGGCCAGCTTGCTTAAAATGGGGGGTGGGAGGGAAGAAAGGAAGGGAGGAAGGAAGGACAGAAGGAAGGGGAAAAAAAGAAGGAAGGAAGGAAGGAAGAGAAGAGAGAAAGAAAGGAAGGAAGGAAGGAAGGAAGGAAGGAAGGAAGGAAGGAAGGAAGGAAGGAAGGAAGGAAGGAAGACCCGTCTCTAAAATTACACACCTCTCTTACACTGCCCAGATTTAATCCGGCACAACAGTCTGAATTGACAGATAGAAAACCTGCAACCCTACTCACCAGTGCCCCCAAGAAGATGGGTAACTGCTCAGACAAATCTGTCCAGCAGGGTTAGGTTTTGTTTTGTTCTAACCTGTACAAAGAGAAATTGTTGTCTTCCTAGACATAGTCCAGACAAAGCCTGGAAATGGCAGAGTGGACATAGATGGACACGGACGGGATGATCCTCCCAAGTTCTGAGCTCTTTGGCTCCTCCAAAATTGCTGTACCAACTGAATTCAAAGTTTGGGGTTCTTACTACTACTTAGAATGAAAACGAAAAGAATGGAAATCTCATCCAGAATGGTGTTAACGGTTCTGCTCTGTGACATTTTTTCTGGCTCCTATCCCCTCTCCTGTTCCCTTGATCGTTGGAGTTCAGGGGCACGAAAGCAGCAGCAGCAGCTCAGGGATGGGGGTGGGTGAGGACGGTGGCTCAGAGAGACTCCTTGATTCACTTAGGGACTTTCCTGGGACACAGAGGTGGATGACCCTTTTAAAACATAGTCCTTATGATAGAGTTATCAATAGTACTGACCCCAGGCCCAAGATAAGCCGGACTTCTAAGATTTACAAACATGGGTTTCCCTCTTGGCTGTGGTTAAGGTTATTACTCCCTTCCTGCCTTCCACAAGCTTAGGCCAGGGCTGCACACTGCTCAGCCCACAGAAGCAGGGCTCACAAATGAGCACCCGCCCTCCCCTTATAAGGGGAGCTGGTGAAAGGGTGTGGCTGAGTAAATACAAACCCAAGCTCTTAAACATCCAAGAACAGAGCATCTCTATCAGTGCAGGCCCGGCAGGCAGAACAGTGCCTGGTGGATAGTAGGTGCTTACATTTTTTTTGACTCATTTGAACTAAATCGAATGCTTCCTAGAAAAACAATGCAAAATATGAACCTATTGATGTTGTACCTGGAGATTTCTCTTCATAAATAAAAAATTGTACGTTACTTGGAAACGACAGCAAAATGAAAACTGTAATGTATTTCTCACTGTTTTATTGGAACCCAGTTGCCTTACTTAGTACAGAATCTGGCAGGGGTGCACTTTGGCCAAGCTTCTATCATTATTGTTCCCAACAAGACATTCTGTACTAAGAAGCTGTTTATTGCCTGAACCAACCTGAAACCTACATGTTTGAAGTTTGAGGGAACAGCATATGCTCACCGTGGCAGCTTTGTATTAACATCATCCAAATTGTTTTCTACAACCCATCTGTGACCCTAACTTCTGCTTGCATCCATTTTAGAAAGCTGGAGGGTCCCATTTTCACCTGGAGGAAAGAGTATAGTCAGGGTGAAGGGAGGTATGGGCAGGGTAGGAAAAGATGAAAGCCCGACTCTCCTAGAAACCATGGCAACAGGAGATAGGACCTATTGCACCCTGGATCATGGTCTGTCTCCACAAGAAGCCTGTTCTTTTTTCTCTCTATCTCAGACCAAAGGGAAGCCCTGTGGCCAGATAGCAGCATTTTTCTCAGGTGCCAAACTAGCAAAATAGTTAGAAATGGTAAACTATTGGTAAGTGACCCTAAAGCCATTTAGCAATGCATACGATCATTCACATAAAGCTGAAATGACTTTATAGTTTGTCTTTAGCTTGCTATCAGGTTTCCATAATCCTGGTTCATTCAAGATACCTCATCCCTATGTGTAGCTGTTTGAGCAAAAATATTAGATGCTGCAGAAAAAAATCCCTAGCCTCCTATGTCTTTTGTTTTTCTTTTTAACCACCTCTTTGATCTCTCTACAGTTTTTTGCTCTCATGATCCTTGCAGGATAATCTCATACCAATGTTAGTAATTACAACAATTTGGGAATAAATCCATTTTTAGTAATGAGGCAATGTAAGAATATAAAGACTAGAAAATGTGACTTGGGCCACACTCACTCTAATCTTGTCCTTATCTGTGCATACCTATCTCTCTTTTAACCCTGCCCTCAGGCGTCCAGCTTTGGTACAGCCACTATTGCTTCTCCAGGATCTGATACATTCCTTCATCCTCGAGCTCACTGCTTGTCTCCTCCCTTCTGTCTCAACATCCTTGGTGTGACGACTGGTTAATCAGTCCCCTCTGCCATGGCCTTGGGACCATTTTTCAAAGACTTCCCCCATAGACAACACTTCCAACACTTCCAAATCCACCCTGGGAGCCAGTCTTGAAGGACCAAATGTGTGACAGAAAATGACCAAGTGCTGCATAATCAGGTACATTTTACCTGGCCTGTCCTATGCTTAATGAGACTAATGAGCCTCTACTTTCCCTCTGCCATAGTAGCATATAAACTGATGACAGTCATGGGGCTCAAAAGTGACACTATCATTTGAGCTGTTTCCTTGAGCCATTGGGCATTTGGAAATGGATGCAGAATCCACAGCAATATTCAATAATCCACTGAGCAAAATTCTTACTCAGTTTGCAACATGTGTTTTACAGAGTTTGAGAACTAATCTAACCTCACCTACTATTTCAGTGTCCTCCTCTTAAAAGTATTAGTCAATACAAGAACCTAAACATTTGTCTTCACTGTCGAGTTAACAACGAAAGAGCACACTGTGTAGCTAAATCTCTCACACTGCTAATTCCAAAGCTCAAATCAAATATTACCTGGATTGTAGTTAGGTAGTTTGGAAACTCCAGGCCAGGTATCCTCTGTAGGGACTCCCAACACCTATACAAAGCCAGAGAAAGACAGAGAAAAATGAGGGAGGACATGAGGCTGGGGGAACAGGTAAGAAGACATAAAAGACAGATTAGGGGGGAGCAGGAAAGAATTAGACATGGCTGATGTATACAAGAAAGAAACTTTTGTGTTTCCATATTTGTAGCTTCATGGGCAATACTAGTATATTCCTATAGTCCTGTAATGGTTAATTTTATATGTCTGCTTGACTGGGCCAAGGGATGCCCAGATAGCTAGTAAAACATTATTTCTGGGTGTGTCTGTGAGGGTGTTTTGGGAAGAGATTAGCATTTGAATCAGTAGACCCAGTAAAGAGGCCCGTCCTCATCGATGGGGCCAGCAGCATCCAATCCACTGAGGGCTTGGATGGAAACAAAACGGTGGAGGAAGCACATATTCTCTCTGTCTCTTCTTGAGCTGGGATGTCCATTTTCTCCTGTCCTCAGACACCAGTGCTGCTGGCTCTCTGGCCTTCAGGCTCTGGGATTTACCACCAGCAGCCTTCTCAGTTCTCAGGCCTTTGGTCTCAGACTAAATTATGCCTCTGGCTTTTCTGGTTCTGCAGTTTGCAAATGGCATATTTCAGTCTCCAAGATCACATGAGCCAATTCCCACAGTAAATCTCCTCTAATATATCTCTATATATCCTATTGGTTTTGTTTCTCTGGAAAATCCTAATATAGGTCCTGAGCTTGTGTCTTCACTAACTCACTTGTTATTCTGAGGTGGGTCATACAGCCTTGCTTAAAGTCATATTCTCATCATTAAATATCTGTTGCATGATGTAGATTAGGATGCTATGTTGGGAGTTGGGATATAAAGAAGCAGGGGTGATGTCCCTTTGCCTTACATCAGAGAACTATATATATATATATATTCAACGGGAGGCACTTGACAGCTTACATTGTGCCTCAGCCTGGCATTCAGCTGTTCCACAATGTGCTCAAATTAAAAGAGGTTCAGATGGCTGACCTTTAGGCAGTGGAATGTTGGCTAAAAATGATCCCAAACCTAATTCTAGTCCTTTCTATCATATTCATCTCATCTGCTTGTTTTTCTGTGGTCCAGCAGCCTAGAGTATGGTATTTGGTTTTTAACTGGTGGATAGTAATAGTAATGACACCACTGAAGATGACTTATACTTTGGATTAACAAATTGGAGCTCCAGTTTTGAATTAATAGAAAAGTCTTCTGGAGTACAAAGTCAAAACATTTCAGATATTGGATGTGGCTGTTTCTGTGAGTCCTCTTCTAAGTATCACCTTGCCTTTTTTTTTTAAAGGTAATCATAAAAGACCAATGTCAGTTATATCTGGGAGCTAGACTAATATTGTTTTTATAAAATATTAGTAAAATACTAGTAGCTTTTATTATACCACTACAATACAATTCCTCTTAGAAGCAGCTCTTGTAGAAAGAGTGTAGAGAATCCATTTGTAAAATGCTGGGAATGTACTGCAGTCCAACTGTTATGGCAGGAAGTCAACTGCCCAATAATTGACTGATAATCATCAGTGAGGAATCTAGAATCTTAATACCTACCAGCTTGCTGAGTAGGCCTCTGGCTGAAAAGTACAATTTGTGGTGCCTGTTAAGCTTGCCCTCCAACAAAAGACACTGAAGTGCTATTCTCCCTCATAGAATAAAAAAATCAAGCCACACAGCAAAACCTTCTCTCTTTGATCCACTCCCTGAACAATCTGAAAAGCTACTGAGAAGATTAGAGGCTTTTCCTATCAAGCACCTTGAGCCTGAGGAAGACTAAGGATCCTGGAATCCATTTTGAAAAACCAACTGGATTAACTCTTCTTTTGTAGGAGGGGCCAGAGGATGGGTAGCTAATTCCTCTTTTTTAACCTACCATCTTATATATTTGCACAGATGTGCATGTAAACAAGTGGGTGTGACTCACAGATCTACCTATAATCTTCTGTTAACCGGCAAAGTACAATGAAAGGAAAGCAAAGATGGGAAAGCATAAGGGAAACAAATAACGGCCACACCCACATTTTTTTAAGGTGAAAGTTACCAGAACGGTCGGTTATTTTGCATTATGTTTAATTAAATCAACAAAATGGATACCAATAATGTTTAACTATTATGCTAAAAGCTTTAAGCTTGAGATTTTAAAAGTTTAAACAAAATGCAATATCCTTTATTTGGAAATTTGATGCCGAGTTTCTATTTGAAAGTTATTGAATTCATTGTCACTTGAGAAAATTACTAAGTCTCCACTTCACTGTCTGGGAAACTGAAAACCAAAAATTGTTGATTTATGCCCTCCCTAAAGGCTCTTAAAAAGGCAGCTAGTGAGTGCTATATTTGAAAACAGTGGGCTGCAGGGGCTGTTCTCTGCCTTTGTTGGAATGGAAACTGAAGGCATTTTGATTAATGGATTCAAGGTCTGCATAGTTTGTTTTATTCTGATTTTAGAACCACAGCTGGGATTATTTGCTAAAAAACGCTCATTGAAAGAATTAGATTTCAGAAAGCTGTGACAGCTATTCAGATGTAAACACACACACACACACACACACACACACTTCAGAAAGATGGTAAAAGAAAAATTCGGGACTTCTCATGATGTCTTGATTCCTAAGAATGAAACCTCAGTATAAATGTAGAGGAAGGTTGTGTTTACAGGTGGGGAGATTTCAAATGGACACATTGCTTTCAAAGAAGCCATTCCTATATCCGCTATCACAGGCTGGAAGTAGATTTCCTATTTTCATTTGTGTACACTATGTTTAGTAAAATACAAATTCAGGAAATATTTGTTAAGTTTACATTTCTAACCCGCTTGAGATGTAGTAGTATTAAAGACAACACACTGCTGAATGGGGTCTTTTCCACTTTGTCCTCAGAGTGTGGAACTACAGATATAACAAAACCATGGTCTTCCTTCTACAGGGCCACAGGGGCCACTGAGACGTAATGATTCGGACCTCCTGGTGCCCATAAAGTACGGCTAGGCAATATGGAACTATATCCTTGATCAGTACAGATCAAAAATCAACAATGAGTTATGCAAGTTGACAAACTTGAGAAAAAACTACCTGGAGGCGGGGAATCAGATAAACAGAGAAGAATGTTATGATTTTAAATGATCGGAGCTACAATATTCTCTTTACGCTTTGTTCAAATAATTCATAACTTCATGGAGTCAGAAAACCAAATACAGATGGTCCCTGACTTACTATGGTTTGACTTATGATATTTTCAACTTATGATATTTTCAACTTGTGATGAGTTTATTGGGTTAGCGTATCATAAGTCAAGGAGCATCTGTAATGTTTAAGACGCTGGAAACCCAGGGAGGTCAGCTATGTGAATTGCTCTCCCTCATAACTTGAAGTTAGAGCTAGGTTCAGGACTTGTGTCTTCTGACTGCAGGCCAGTGTTATTTCTAATATGTTTACATGTTTTAAATGTGTAATGAGTTGTCATAAATGTCAAAATAAAGTCCCTTTGATTGATTGCAGTGTGATAAAGACAATGGTAGAAATGAACATGGCTTTCTGGGCAGGAACTATTAGACTGATTTGTTAAGACATGTTTGCTTTTGCTCCATCACTCATGTTTTGGTACTTTATATCCAGGTTCAAGTCCAAATTCTTTCACTTACTGAATTACCTAAACATCTTCAGATGGCCAGTGTCAGTCAGCAAGGCCAGTCCTAGAAACTTGAACCAATAACTAGAGAGCCATCAGGATCTGGGAAATGTCTCACCCATTCTTTCTGTTCTGTGATTTCTAAGTGCTGTGCTAAATGCAAAGAACTGTAAAATGATTGCTTTTAAGAATGTGATTATTTAAAGATAGTATGTAATATAAAAAATCAGTTTATACACAACTTTTTTTTTTTTTTTTTTTAATATAGCTCCACTGATTTCAGAGGGGGGAGAGGGAGCAAGAGAGAGAGAAACATCAATGATGAGAGAGTCATCATTGATCTCCAGGATCCTAGGTCGATGCTCAGCCGCTGAGCCACACCCAGCTGGGCTATAAAACAACTTTTCAAATATTCTAATAATATACCTTATTTCAGTATTATAATTTATATTAATTATCTACACATACATCCTCTCACATATATACACAATTGTGTTGTTTCCTGACTAAATGACTAGGAAATACTGTTCAAATGTATAAAGGTCATTGCAGGGTCAGGGTTAGGCAGTGTTAATTGTGCTGCCTCTGTTGTGAACAAGAAACAATATTACATGAGGTTATATATCAGGAAATGCTTTTTAGCACTTAGGTTATTGAAACATCTACAATAATAATTTATCTGAGAGAGAAAGGCAGCAGATATTTATTGAGCATTTTTGGCCCATGGAGCTTGTTATGCATCTGATCTTACAGAATTCTGACAGAAGCTTAGAAAGTCATCTCTAGCTCCATTTAACAAAGGAGAAAACTGAAGCTCAGAGGAACTACAGAGCTTGCCCACATTTCTTTAGCTAAAAAGTGACTAGAATTCAAACCCAGGTCTTATGACTTTAAAGCTATTATTACATTAGGCTGCCTTCAGCTTAGACGATGCTATGGCATCTGACGATGCAGTCTGAAGACAAACAGCATTTATCTGTCTTGCAGAGGAGTTTAGAGGGAAAAAATCAATTTTTCCATGTTGCCCTGTAATAACCCTCATGTTTCCAAAAGAAATTTTAATGGTAGTAATTAATCTCTATAAAACGTCTTAATTTCTTGAAGCACTTTTTATTTTAGCCAGAAGTAAATGTCTTCTAGGTCATGAATTTATTGCACTAGACTGATGTGCATAGAATTTCCTCATAGAGGTGAGCCAATGACTTTCCATACACTGGCAACTAACTCTTTTCCCTTTTCCCTGGTATTCCCTAAAGAGTTTTCCTCACCTTTATGTGTGTATTAAAGATAAATTCTACTTAAAATTATTAATTAATTAAAGACTCCACAGTGGAAATGCAATTTAAAAATGAAAATTTTATACCATTTCTGGACAGGCACAGCTAGGGGCTACTAAATCAGAACTGTAAAGGAGTTTGGGAGAAGACGTTTCCCCACCTGCACACAAAGCCTCACTCTGGCAGTATTTTCCAAGGTACCAGCACTGGAGGCTGTTAGCAAGAATGCTCCAGATGCCTGCTTGAAGCAAGCAAACTTGAAAGGGAGCAGAATAAAAAGTAATAAAAAAATAAACCAAGTTAAAGCACTTTGACACATGCTACAAAATGGATGAACCTTGAAAATATGTTAAGTGAAATACGGCAGACAGAAATAAGTATTACAGTCGTAATACTGTACGACTCCACTAACATGAGATACCTAGAACAGGCAAATGCTCAGAGACAGAAAGTAGATGAGAGGTTACCAGGGGCTGGGAGGAAGGAAGATTCGGAATTGTTGTTTAATGGGCACAGAGCTTCTGTTTGGGATGATGGGAAAGCTTTGGAAACGAATGCTGGTGATGGTTACACAACAATGTGAATGTATTTAATGCCTAGAACTGTACACTAAAAACTGTTAGAAAAGTAAATTTTACATATGTTTTACAATTTTAAACAATTGCCAAAAAAGAGAAATATACAGTGACTAAGATGGCATATAAGCTACACGGGAAATAAAAATGAAGCACATCATGGTACAGATAAGGCAGGGATAAATAATGAATAAAGAAATGGAACCAAGGGAAACAAAAGGAAAAATAAAACAAATGGGACTACATCAAACTAAAAAGTCTTTGCACAACAAAGGAAACCATCAACAAAATGAAAAGACAATCCACTGAATAGAAGATATTTGCTAATAATACTTCCAATAAGGGGTTAATATCCAAAATTTATGAAGAACTCATACAACTCAACACCAAAACAATCTGATTTAAAAATGGGCAGAGGACACACAGATGGTCAATAGAATTATGAAAAGATGCTCAACATCACTAATCATCAGATGCAAACTAAAACCACAATGAGATATCACCTCACACCTGTCAGAATGGCTCCATCAACAAGTCAACAAATGTGCTGGCGAGGGTGTGGAGAAAGGGGACCCCTCATGCACTGCTGGTGGGGTTGCAGACTGGTGCAGCCACTGTGGAAAGCAGTATGGAGGTTCCTTAAAAAATTAAAAATGGAACTGCCTTGCCCTAGATGGTTTTGCTCAGTGGTTAGAGCATCAGCCTGCGGACTGAAGGTCCTGAGTTCAATTCCGGCCAAGGGCATGTACCTCAGTTGCAGGCTCGATCCCTGGCCCCTGGAGTGTGTGCGGCAGGCAACCAACCGATGTGTCTCTCTCACATCGATGTTTCTCTCTCTCTTTCTCCCTCCATTCTCTCTAAAAAGCAATAAAAAATATCCCAGGAGAGATTTTTAAAAATTAAAAATGGAACTGCATTTTGACTCAGTGATTCCACTTCTGGGAATATATCTGAAGAAACCCAAAACACTAATTTGAAAGAATATATGTGCACCTGTGTTCACTGCAGTGTTATTTACAACAGCCAAGGTATGGAAGCAGCCCAAGTGTCCATCCATAGACAAGTGGATAAAAAGTGGTGCACATATACAATGGAATATTACTAGGCCATAAAAAAGAATAAAATCTTAACATTTACGACAGCATGGATGGACCTAGAGGATATTATGCTAAGTGACATAAGTCAGTCAGAGAAAGACAAATACCATAAGATTTCACTTGTATGTGGAACCAAAACAACAAAATAAATAAACAAACAAAACTGAAACAGACACATAGATACAGAGAACAGACTGACAGTTGCCAGAGGGGAGGGGGTTTGGGGGACTGGGTGAAAAAGATGAAGGAATTAAGAAGAGCAAATTGGTAGCTGCAAAACAGTCATAGGAATATAAATACAGCACAGGGAATATAGTCAATAACATTCTAACATTCTAATAAGTATGTATGGTGCCAGGTGGGTACTGGAAATATCAGTAAGAATACTATAAAGTATGTGATTGTCTAACCACTATGCTATACAACTGAAACTAATACAAAATAATATGGAATGTAAACTGTAATTGAAAAATAAACTTAAAAATAAAAGAAATGGAAACACACACACAAAAGCACCTTAGCATCTTAGGAATTTGGTTTTGGAGGAGCATGATAAATACTGTATTTCTCTCACACTAACATGGTAAGGCTTTGTTTTCATTGGAGTTCTGTGATAATTTGGTGTCCTGTCTTCAGTTGACAAAGATAATCCAGGGCTAAACATATAGTAGAATTAGAGCTGGGGGTGGCCAGGCAGAAATGTGCTTAAGTAGTAATGACAGAAACTTCCCTGAGAAATTGAGACAATAATAATAGGGAGCAGGTGGATTCATGGGATGTTACAGGACAACAGGGGTTCCTGACCACTCATATGCAAGGTGTTTATTATACCTGTGGCAAATGCCAGTCTCCATGACTTTAATATACAGCTTAATATCTCAAAGCAGATGGACTGCGCCATTCGTCTCAAAGGCAGATTTGATTTAAAGTTTGAAATGCAGATACTTCTTCTCCCTGAGAGGAATCCTTCTCTTACCTCCCAGATCTTCTCCAGCTGTTCAAAGATGTTGGTAACCCCAGGAAACAAAGGTTGACCCTGGAACATTTCAATAAAGATGCAGCCTGCACCCCTGGCAAAAGATACAAGAGTCAGCTCACACTTTTAAGGAAACCATACCTGCAAAACTGAACTACTAGCATTTCCCCTCCCAAGAAATACTTTGGGGACAGTTAAATAGAGACCACATGCTATTAAAAATCAAATAAAAGTCTCTTTGTCAACCAAAAATAAGAACAGCCTGCAGCTTTTTGTTGAAATGGAATGCAACCAGCATTTAGGAACACAGTGTAGATAGCAAAAGTTGTAGCTCTTTCAAGCTCATTAACTATCCATTTTATGAGAGGAGAGGAAAGTACTAAACCTCCAAACTGAATACTCTCTTTCACTGGATCTAAGATGCTATCATTGTAAGAGGCACCACTATTGTATGTGCTATTAAGAAGCAAAAAACCTGTAAGTTAAACTATGACATGCTCAGAATGTTCCTTTTATACTTATTGAAAGGACTGTTATACATTTAATTAGACAGATTATTTTATCATATGTCGTACTTGTACATGTAAAAACTGGAACATTAAGTGAAAGAAGTTGGTTTAGGTGCTCCTGAAACTTTTTCACATTCAGCATTTGACTCAGACTCTTTGATGTCTATGTTTATCCACGGTATCGTCCTCTATATCAGGAGTTTGATGACACAGCATGTCTTAAAATAATCCATTAAAGAACTAAGAGTCACTGGTGCTGGGCTCCTAAGCTGATCTTGCAATTACAGAGAGTTAGCCTACTTTTGACTCCTGCTTAAAGAATGTTGCTAAGCATGTCTGATTCACTCCCTTTCCACAACCATTTTGTTCCCCGTCCCTGGTGGTGGGGGGGGGCTCTTCTGTCTGCAAGACTCTCCCAAGTCACTGACACCCATTCTGCAAGTCCTGATGCTGACATGTTTGATGTTCACACATGTGCAATGGTAACTACAGTCACAAGTGCAGCCTGGCTGATGGCTATCCTAAGATGCTGCCGATTGTAAACTGCATCCTGATTTAAGATGCACCAAGAATGTGCATCTTAAAATAGATAAATAGGGTGAAATATGTTTTCTTTCCTATGTAGTCAAATTAGAGGGTAATTCTTGATTGTAAGAAGTAAGATTTATTTTGCTAATAATGCACATTTTTATCCTTATAAGTCTTTTGAGTGATAAAAATGGTTCAGATGACAGATTACAGAGATTACTTATCCTCATGGTCCAATACTTTGACTCCAAATCCCTTTACCATAACACATACATTTGCAAACTCTGTTAGCCATCTTGAGATTTTTTGTGTGGCACGATAAAGGAGATACAAGTAAAACATTTTATTATAAATCATATTAAATATTCATATTAAATATGGTCTATAATATTATTCATATGCATTTAACCCACATAATGTATTTTTACTTTTTCCATCTGACTGTAGACACATACTATTTAATTTGCTTTAAATTGTGTAGGAGAAAGCAGATTTCTTTTTTTTTTTTTTAATCCTTACCTGAGGATATGTTTTTATTGATTTTAAAGAGAGAGGAAGGGAGAGAGAGAGAAACATTGATGTGAGAGAGGAACAGTGACTGGTTGCCTCATGAACAACCCCTGACCAGGGACTGAATCTGCAACCTGGGCATGTGCCTGACAGGGAATCGAACCTGTGACCCTTCAGTGTATGGGATGATGCTCCAACCAGCTGAGCCACACTATCTAGGGCAAGCAGGTTTCTTGAAAAACAAGCTTAAGAATAATTTTTATCCTATGCCTGTTTAGAGACAGAATATATATTTAAAAAATTGAAATTTAACTGTACTTCATAATATCTAAAGAGACAAAAAGTGTTTTCATGAGCTATTTGGTTTGCATTTTAAATAATCAACTGGCTCATTCTTAGAATTTTGTACATATCTCAGTAAAAGATGCCAGACTGCATTTTGCAAGCATATTTCCCCCCCATCAAACAGGTTGTTTTTATCCCCAATTTTTAAAAAGCAAGTTTGGATATAATGGTCACCATATTTACTGATTTTTCATGTACAGGAGGCATCTTGAGATGTGAAACAAGAATTTTGATCAGACAAATGTAACTTAAGAATCTGGTCAATAGCATCTTGAGGTAAATTTTTAGAACTAGTGTCATTTTAAAGTTTCTCATTAGCTTGTCTTTGAATACCCATGTTCTTTTTGCTTCTTATCTTTAAAGCAACAGATATAAACGGTATAAATTAATAAGGGGAGAAGAATAAAGGTAATGGAAAACTGTCAAATGGTTAAAAATCATCCTGGCTGCCAGCAGTGGTCAACTATGAAATAAGCCCACTCAGAAACTGAGCTGGTGAACGGCCTCTACCCACTGCCCCTCACGCTTTCTCTGGATGTACTTGAAAAGTCTCAAATCATTTCATTGTGAAGTGACATATATATATACATACACACATATGTATGTGTGTGCATTAAAATGTATGCAGTTGTTTATTACTTGATAGAAAATAGAAATGGCAATGTACTAGGTTTTGAAGACTTGAACCAATCCTCTTTTCAGTGCCCTAACACCTTCCAGAAACCTCAGGGGCTCACAAACCACTAGGAGGCCTGAGGCATTTTATCTTTTTTTTATTTTTTATTGATTTCAGAGAAAGGAAGGGAGAGGGAGAGAGAGAGAGAGAAACATCAATGATGAGAGAGTCATTGATTGGCTGCAGCCCGCAACCCTGGCATGTGCCCTGACCGGGAATCGAACCCTGATCGCCTGGATCCTAGGTCAACGCTCAACCGCTGAGCCACACCCGGCGGGGCCTGAGGCATTTTAAACAAGGTTCAAAACCATAGTCATTACTAGGTATAAACCTGTAGTGCATTTTTTCCCCTCCCCTCAAAAAGTTTTCATTGCTTATAAAAAACGTTTTGTCTTTTCGTGTCTTTTCATACTAGTGGCTGTAGGGAAACAAGAAGGAAGTCCTTTTGCTACAGTTTCTTAGTGGCCTTTATCTTCTAAGCCACGAGGACAGCGTACAAAACTATGTAAAATATACTGGAGAATGCTGGACATTAAGGCCATTATGCAGGTACTATAATAACACAAGATGTTTGTGTTATGGAATCAAATGCTATTTGGTTAAAAGTCTTCATGTGCATTTATATGGTTGGTATCATATAGGCATTCTCTTAAGTGTTTCTTTTTAAGCTTCACTGAGGGGCAGGTTAAAACCTTTCTCACCTAACAAATCTAGAGTCCAAGATGAGATACACACATATAAAATGTGTGTGCATGCATACAGGCATGCCCTTAGAACAGTCACAAGACAAACAGAATTCCTAAATCAATTATATTTTAGTACCTGGAATGTCTTTAAGTATCATAAATATCTATGCTTTGGTAAGAAAGTAAGTCTGTGCCTCTCAAGTTTGAAAGACAAAGGATGTTATCTAGGTATAAGCATTGCTCTTTGAAAACTATACAATTCATCTTTCTATTTTTTTCACTTGTTCTTCAGAACTGTTCTGATTTTTATTTGCTTTACAAATAAGTCATGTGAATTTTATATTTTTTATTTGTTTCTTGAACAAGTCATGTGGTTATCATCTAGCTTGCCCATCCTAGACTAGCCTTAAGCAAACATTTTAAATATTCTGAACATTCAGGTCCTGATAGGGAACCAGCTCCTATTTCCTTTTATTCCTCTGTTTTGTTCTTAAATCTTTATTCCTATGGCTCTTCTTACCCTACATATCTTTAGGCTTCTCAGAGGATTTCTGCTCTGTGGAGATACCCTGGAGGCAGCCCATGTTGATGAAGGGGAACTTCACACGCAAGGGGGGAAAAAAGACCTGCTGGCCTCACACAGTGAATCCTCCTGGAAAGGAGAGATGCACTGGGCCATTTTATTGCTCCAAATGTGGTTCTTCAGTTAAGTTAGAGGAAACAGCTTATATTTTTTTCTGCTTTTTCTGGTTCTCTTCCTAACCTTTTCTCTATTCTGAGCATGAATAAACTCTTCTATAAGAAAAAGATTCTTCAAATTCCTTAGGCAATTTCTGGGAAAATAAACCATCTCAGGAGTTTCAGGTTTTTGGAGGTGCAAGGAACATACAAAAATGTTGTTGGGAGAAATGAATCAGTATTTCATTTTTCATTGTTGTAATTAGTTCAGAACAACATAGTAATGTATGAGGCAGTGATGTGACATTTCCATTTGCTTTTCCCTGGGATGCTCTTTATATTTGGAAGTCTGCAATCTCTCAGTCAGGGACAACTTTCTGTAGTCCTAAAACCAGCAGCTGCCTGAAGTCAATTTTGAATAGAGGACTTTGTGTAGCAAAATAAATGAACCTTGAAAACATTATGGTAAGTGAAATAAATTATAGATGGAAGGAAAAGTATTGTATGATTCCACTTACATGAGGTATCTAGTATAGTCAAATCTGCGGAGACATAAAGTAGATTGGTGGTTACCAGGGGCTGAAGGGAGGAAGTAATGGGAAGTTACTGTTCAATGGGTACAGAGTTTCAGTTTGGGATGATGATAAGTTCTGGAGATGGGTAGTAGTGATGGTTGAACAACAATGTGAATGTACTCAATGACCCTGAATTACATTTGAAATGGTAAATTTTATGTTATGTGAATCTTAACACAATATAAAAAAGTAAAAACAAAACAATGTGATCATTCTAAAACAATGAGTTTTTCTCACTGAAGTTGCTAATGGAATCTTTTAAAGTTTGAAAAAGGTAGCAGAGAGAGAAGAAAATATGTTGGGGAATTAAAGAACATTGGTTATAAGTGCTGGGAAAAACCAATATGTCCTACTTGTTCATTTTCCAAAATCTAACCATTTGCTCTGGGCCTCCTGCTGACCCTGTTGCTACCAGGGCTCACTGTGAACAAGAGGCTTTGCACTACTGTATTATAATTAATTTCTTTAAAACAAAGGCTCTAACCTGACCGGCATGGCTCAGCGGTTGAGCATTGACCTATGATCCAGGAGATGGAAGTTTGATTTGGGGTCAGGGCACATGCCTGGGTTTTGGGCTTGATCCCCAGCGAGGGGTGTGCAGGAGGCAGCCAATCAATGACTCTCTTTCATTATTGATGTTTCTATCTCTCTCCCTTCCTCTCTCTGAAATCAATAAGGATATATTTAAAAACAAAAAACATAGGCTCTAATGCTTACCACTGTCATCTGCCTCCTTAAAAGCACTCAGTTTGAACCCCATGGAATTACATGGCCTAGCAGAGTAGGATTTTTTTTTTTTTCCTTTTCTTTCTTTGTCAATTGGGAATCTCCCTACTTACTTCCCCTCTTATCACTATGAAAGGGGAAAAATGGGGGAAGGGGTATCCCCATGTAAGCACCCAATATCTAACAATTATGTAGAGAATGAACAAATACAGTAAACTCAATGGAAGATGCCTACTGCTCTATTTCTAGATTACTTTTTGAGTTTTACTGGGCAAACAACAATAACAGTGAAATGAATAAGAGTAGTGAATAATTTTAATTTAAAATTGAATTTTATTTTGTAAGTGCCATCATTATTTATCATTAAATTAATGAAACACTTATCAATGGGATAATATATATCCTTGTATTTGCAGTAAAAAGGTAAGGGATACATAGTTTAGGAGAGACTTACAGAACTGGGTTGGGTGACCCAGTCTGAGCCTCAGGAAAAAATTACCCAGAATGCAGCACACAAAACTGAGGAGATGGAAAATATGAAGAGGATAGGAGACAAATGTGGTCTAATAATCTTTCATTGGATCTCCAGAAAGTGAGAAGGGAATAGAAGCAACATTCAAAAAGAAAATTACTGGTGAAAAACATAGATTCATAATTGGAAGAAACACAATATATACCAAGCAGTATAATAAAAAATCCACATTAGACAGCTTATAGTGAAAACTGCATAATAACAAAGGCAAAGAAAAAATGGATTATTTTTCTGGACAGATCACCTGCAAAAGAAAGACAATAAGGCTAAAAGGAAACTTTTCTATAATTAGGCTAAAAGGAAATTCACAACAGCAGCAATGGAAGACTAAACAGTGGAATGCTATCTTCATAAGTTCTAAGAAAAAATAACTGTCAATCTAGAATTACATCCCCAGCAAGACTACCTTTCAACAATGAGAGTTTGTCTTAAGAAACAGAAACAGAATTTGCCACCAACAAGCCTACACTAAAGAAAATTCTAAAAGATTTTCATCAAAAGAAAGGAAAGTTATTCTGAAAGCAAGATCTAAAGTATGAATGTGTATGAAGTTTTAAATTTATTTGCACTTAATGAAAATAGCTTAAAAGTATATAAAGCAAAAAAGAATAGATTTATAACAAATCAACAATATAGCAAATAATTTCAATACACCTCTCATTGACAAGTTAAACAGACAAAAATGATATCAAGGTCTGAATAACACAATTAACAACCTTGAATTTTTGAATATATGTAAAATCCTGAACCCAACATTTTTGGGAATAAACATTCTTCTTAAACACACATCATATAATTGCAAATACTGACCAAGTACTAGGCCAGTGCCTCTTAGACCATGTTTGGTAAAACACCAGTTTTTTTCCTCAAATTTTTGCTAACTTTTAACTTTTTATTTATTTATCTTTATTGTTGAGAGTATTACAGATGTCCCCCATTTTCCTTCATTCCTCCCATCCCCCCCTTAAGCTTAAAATTGCAAGAATAATACCCTTCAGATTCACCAATTGCCAACATTTTACCTCTTTCATTTCATCATTTTCTATCTCTCTATCTATCCATCTATCCATTTATCTCTATTTTTCCTGAGGCAGTAGAGAGTAAGTTGCGGATTCCATGACTATTCACCCCCAAAGACTTCCATGTGTATTTTCTAAGAATAAAAGCACTCTCTTACATAACAACAGTGCAATTATCAAAATCAGAAAATTTAACATTGATCCAGTACCACTATCTATTCCACAATCCATATTTAAATTTCACTTATTGCCCCAGTAGTGTTCTTTAGCTCCATTTCCCCCAGGATCCAATCTAGGACCAGGCAATGTGTTTAGTTTGTATGTCTCTTTAGTCTCCTTTAATCTAGAACAGCCCCTCTGTCTTTCTTTGCCTTTTAAAACCTTAGCATTGTAGGGGAACAGAAAATGCCACCCTAAAATATGCCATTCTGACATAAGGATTATTTTGTGCTGAAGGAAACTGAGAAAAAAACCCAGGTATTTCATAGAAGAGAAAACACAAATGGCAAATAATCCACCAAAAGATGTCCAACCTCATTAGTAATGAGCAAATTTAGGTCATACCATTCTACCCACTTGATTAGCAAAAATTAAGAAATGTTATAAAGTTGGTGCAGATGTGGATAAGGGACTATAATACACTGTTGGTGTATAAATTATTACAGCCACTTTTGGAAAACAATTTGGCACTATTTTATGAAGTTAAACATTCACATATTCTGTGACAGCAAATCTATTCTTAAGTAACATAGAGAAATCCTTAAATGTAAATATTAAGTATATTCATAACAGTAAAAACAAACAAGACAATAAGCAAACTAAAATGAAATGCTCATCAACAGGAAGTAAAGTGTAACTACACTAATCAACATGGATAAATCTTAGAAACATACTGAGTAAAAAAAAAAAAAAAAAAAAAGCAAGTCACAGAAGACTAAAACCGATATAATGCCATTTTTATAAAAACTCAAAACCAGGTAAAACAAAATAACTTTTTTGAGAACCCATTAAAAAAAATACGAAACTATTATTTTGAATAGGGGTAAAGGAATGATACAAGGGAAAAAATTTNACTTTTTTGAGAACCCATTAAAAAAAATGCAAAACTATTATTTTGAATAGGGGTAAAGGAATGATGCAAGGGAAAAAATTCGGGGTAGAAGCCCCTCTTGTGGAGGGGTAGGCTGACGGGAAAAGAATACAAGTAGGTGTGACAGTATTGATTATGTCCTAGTTGTGACACTGGATGGTGGGTTTATGGAGCTCACTTTATTATGCTTCCTAATCTACATCAGGTTTCTCAGTCTTGACACTATTAACATTTTGTTCTGGATAAATCTTTGTTGTGGAGGGTGCTGCCCTGTGCATTGTAGGATATTTAGCACCATCCCTGACCTCTACCCACTAGGTACCAGTGGTGACAGTAAAAAATGTCTCCACACACTGTCAAATGTCCCAGAGATGCAGAATTGACCCTTGCTGAGAATCACTTATGTATATATATGTTATATACATTTTTTAATGTTTTAAATGTTTCATAATAAGAGAAAGTTTAAAAGTGGTAAGTAGAAGTTTCACTCTGTCTGTGAAGCACAAATAGCAAGTGATCATTAAGAGCTGAGAAGGCCAAATCCCATCAAAGGCCTTGGAAGTGACAATGAGAGCTGATAGTTTCAGGAGGTTTTGACTAGTAGGTGATACTTGCAGAAATGGCACCGGGTATTAGAAAAATCAATGTCTCCAGATACACTGGAGGAAAATTTCTGCAACCATTCTCAATTCTCTGGGAAATCCAAAGCTTAGTTTAGCTTTTTAGGATACTCTTTAATGTTTTTAATCCATTATTGATTTTATTTTTTTTTAAACAACAACAGGGCCTTTTGTTTACATATGACCTTCTAAGGTCTTGAAAGAAGTCCATGTATTTTGTTACCTTTGAGGACTGGCTCTGACTGCAGTCACCACACATCTAACTGTGGCCCCCAAATGCCTGGGATATTTCAGGAATAAGGTCTAGATAACATAACACTGCTGCTCTAGGAATGAGGAGTGCCTGAGGTCCCACTCATCACCACATCCCATTAATCCGAGAGCCTCCCCAACAATGTGGTTCTACTTGACAGCATCATTCTGGTTCTTATACTTGCACTACAGTCCCATTTAACCCCTCATGGGGAGAGTTCATTACCCTCATTTTAAAAATAGAGAAACATAGACACAAAGAGGATACATAACTTTTTCAAGATAACATAATTCAGAGAAACTGATTAGAAGTAGAATTGGCATAAAAATTGGGTCTCCTGATTCTTGGTCTTTATGCTTTTGCCACCAGGCTCTGAACTGTGGTTGGGCATGTGTGAGCATGCACGCACAGGTGAGTGCTTGAGTGTTTGTGTGTGTGCATCGGAGGGTTGGGAGTGTATATGTGTTTCTCTGAGGACAAGGAGAACAGACAGAGGATTGAAGAGAAGAGCTAGGAGGTGAGGCATGGTAGAAAGAGTACAAGATTCTGAAGATGCCTTGGGCAAGACCTCTCTGAGTCTCAGTTTCTTTAACTGTAAAAACTGGTAGAATGATTGGAAAAATCAAATGGGATATGTATTTGAAAGCACTTTATGTTTCTGTAGACAAATGTGACTGTCATTAGAATTATTATTAAGAATGTACTACAGATGATAAAGTAACCGTCAAGGGTAGGATCACTCACATTTTTGGGGACTAGCTCTTACCATATGTCCAGCTCAGAGGAATATTCAGTGGCTCCCAGTAAGGCATCAGGAGGGCGGTACCAGAGGGTCACAACTTCCGAAGAGTATGTCTGGCTGGGAATGGACTTGGCCCGAGCAAGACCTGACCAAAAGGGAGAAGCACAGAACTCATTGTTCTGGGATTTCCTACAGAGCCACAGTAATACATTCGACCACGAAGGGTACAACTGGCTGAGTAAACAATATTTTAAAAATAATACAGGAACTCTGGGTGCTTTTAATAGAGCTACTCAACTATCTTGACCCTGTGTACTTCTTTATCAAGTGAATTTCTTAAATTTTGGCCTCATTTGCAGCTAGATGTGGCCTTCCTGGCAGCTAAGTGTAATGAGGTGACTAAATCTTGCCTGTATGACACGAATAGAAGTGATGTGTGAACTTCCAGATCTCCCTCCTCCAGGCTGTAATACAAAGGAGGTGGCAGCCATACTGAAATATGCACTCGGGGCAACACCTTAGGGAGGGTGGGACCACATGACAGAAGGGGCCACCTTATAAGTTCTGACTGCTTAGCTCAGACAGTTATGTGATAGCAAGTTAAGCTTCTAGCATGTTTACACCTTTGTAATTTTGGGTCTCTGTAACAGCAAGAGAACTCAGTTCATGACTAATATGGCCACTCTGATTTCTGCAGTTCAGGAATCCCCAATTAGATAAAGGGTGGGGATTGCTAATCCAAATTAATTAGTTTGGTAGAATGTCAGATGAGTCATTTTCAAGTGCTCCTCTGCACAAAGAGAGTACTTTGTCAGTCAGTCACTGATCTCACAGAATCACATGATCTATAGCTGGAAAAATATTCAATAGATGAGTCACTGTTATCAATGTGGGGCATTGATAAATGAATGTCTGTTAAATGTTTGCATATCTGGATGAAAGAAACTATTTCAGGATAAAGTACTGTAGCTATAGTACAACTATTTGAATCTGCCAAACAGGGAAGAGTGGTTCCTCAGCTAACATGGAACCAGATTTTCAACAAATATTTCTTGAGCACTTACTATGGTGCTAGGCACTAGGAATACAATGATAAAAATGGACTCAGGCTGCCATCATAGTGCCTATAGTCTAGTGGAGGAGTCAAAATTGTCTCACAAATGTGTGTGTGCAATTATAAACTGTGATAAGTGTTAAAATGGAAAGATACAGTAATACTCCGGAGAAATCTGCATCACTTGGATGGAAATAAAAGCCTCAGGTACCCATACAGTCATAGCTATATAGATAAATAATTAAGCAGGAACAAGTGTCCTAGAGCCCTCATTGCAGGAGCCTATTGACAACCTGGGGCTTGATCCTGTCATCCTGGGATATCCTCAATCTACTCTGACAGAATTTGTATATCCATCTAGATTTACAGAAACCTACCAAGTACAGTTCACTCTACAAATGTCTCTATATCTGGGCTAGTACGGGAGTCCAAGTTTTAGGATTTGATTAGACTGGAGCTTGATAGAATCCTAGAAAGCTACCAGTCCCTCCCTGTTTCTTGCCTCACACTTCCTATACGGTAGATTGATATCCTCACAAAGAATCACACTCTCTGGGCCTTGACTTTTCAAAGGCCAGGCCTCGTCAATGCTTTAAACATGTGTACACAAACCAGCATTATTCACAGCCCAGAAAAAGACTCAAGGGGCGGCTTACCAAAATCCGCCAGTTTGAGCTCTCCCAGGTGACTGATGAGCAAGTTCTGAGGTTTCAGGTCCCTGTGAAGAACGTGTTGGTGGTGGATGTACGCCAGGCCCCGCAGAAGTTGAAACATGAAAAGCTGGAAGGAATGAACACCTTATCTAAACAGATTTGAGCCACTATGTGTGCATTTCTCCTCTAAATCAAAAACAGTCATCCGTAAGAATATAGTCAAAGTGCCTCTTGAGGGACAAAAAAGAAAAAAAAGAAAAATGAAGATTTTATATTAAGAGGGGGGAAAAAAGACAAGGAAAGCCAAGTAAGTAGACCATGTCCTAAACAAAGGGATTCTGGCTTTCCCTGACGTCTCGTTTCTTTGATATTGAAGGAGTTACCCTTCCTTAAAAATCTAAAGTGAAACTTTGAAGTTTCTTTTGGAACACTAGTTATTGATTTAGATGTGAGAGATTTAATTTTTTTCCCCCACCGATGAACTTGGCATGTGAGATCAAAGTTGACCTGGAAATGATATTCTTAGGTTTACAACTGCTTACGTTTTCCAAGCTCTCTGATATGAAACCCTTATAAAAACACAACACAAGGAGGCCAGACTGGGAAATTTATCCTTAGATGGTAAAAGGAAATAAAGGAACCATTATCTTTTTAAACCTATTTTTAAAGTCTTAAGTTCGAAGTTGAAAATAAGGGAAATATACAGTATAGATTAAAAGGGAAGAGAGACCAAAAGAAATTAGACCCCTCCCCCAAATCAAAAGAGAATAGGGAATAAATAGTAGAGAGAAGAAAGAAGGGGGAACAACAGGAAAAATATTTTCTGGGCCCAAATTTTAAAATGTTGCACATGATTATAAGGCACAGAAACCAGACATTTTTAGGTTCCCACCATTATAGACATTTAAGGGGGGGGGGAAAGAATGCTTAGCTTTCCGAGTANCAGAAACCAGACATTTTTAGGTTCCCACCATTATAGACATTTAAGGGGGGGAAAAAGAATGCTTAGCTTTCCGAGTATTTTTTTGCTATTTTCCAGTGCCACTGGCAATTGAGATTTCAGACACCAACATTAGTGTTTACAAAGACCTATGCCAACTGAGAACATGTTCTGACAGATCAGAAAAGAGAGGACCAGCCCCAGCATTCCTGGGGACACAGGCAAAATAGCAGATACAGAGTTGTGTGGATAAATCCACTTTTCCATCTCACCTTGGAAACTATTAACTTCAGAGCTGCTACGACCTGTAACTGACCTAACAATGACTTGGAGACATTGGAGCCAAGTCGATGAGCAGCATGGGGACTGAAGCAGGAGCCTGGCGGGTTACCTACCACAGCACAGTTGGGCCATGTAGGTTCCATGCAGGTTCCACATCAGTTTCACAAACCATTTAAGAATGTTAAAAATTTCTTGAGACTCCTACTGCAAATGCTCACTGGTCCTATGAATCTTTCCAAGGCTTTATCTTCTTGGTGCTTCAAACACACACTATTTATTTTTCCACTCTTCAAACCACTGAGTTACCAAAGCACAACATTCTTATACCATCACTTAAACCTTCTTATTGGTTATAATATTCATGGAAAAGACAATATAAAAAACAACTGAAATTCCAGGTAAAAGATAATATGCCATAGCGTATGTTTTTCAATGGGAAAGTACCAGGAAAGAGGGAGATGGAGGCAGAAAGGTGGTGATCAGTAAGGGAGAGAGAAAGAAAGAAAGAAAGAAGGGGAAAATAACATTTATTGAATGCCTATCATCTTTTATAATCCTGAGAACAACGCTGTGAGGAAGATATGCTTGTCTTCAATTTACAGATAAGAAAAATAGGGAACTAAAAATATGTCCAGAAAGAGTGAGGGCCAGGTCTCAAATTCAGACATACCTGGCTCCACTACTCCACCATCCTGAGAAGCCAGAGAAAAGAGAAAATTAAAACAGGACAGGGAAAGGGAGTGGGCTGGCTGAGTCAGAAACAGAGCTGCTCCGACGGCCAGGCTGAAATGCCTTTCCCGTCCCAGGATGGACTGTTCTCGCTAATTAGTCACGCCCGCTCTCGCCTTCTTGCTCGGTGCCCGCAAGCATTTGTGCGCGGTGAGGCCTGGTGGTGTTGGGTGTGGTGTCTCACAGCCACACTTCTCAAAGCTGCAGTGCGTGCCGGCTAAGCTCACCACCCACTCGCTCTTTAATCCTTCACAGCGTGGATTCTTCCTTCAACCCTGCCGAAGCTTCACCGATAATATGACCCAATCTCATGGTGTTTTTTCAGTCAACATCAAGCCAGATCGTGGGTGACTCTTTCCAGAGAGGCTTCCCATACCCCAGGGGTTAGTTCTGTTTCCAACACAATGAGGCTCTTGGGAACAAAATGTAATTCCTTTGGGCTACTGCCATCTGGGCTGGAATCCCTCAAAACACAATCAGATTAATCAGCCAATTCCTGCAAGGAAGCCTGAGTCCTTCCACTCACCAGGGATCCCTGGGGCTTGTTAAATCCCAGGCGATTCCCATCAAGTCTTCTGTGGTCACTCCTCAAAATATAAGCCTCTCTGACTATTTTTTTTTCCTCCCATAAGCTCATCTCCATATTGCTCTGTGCTTCCTCTCATTTAATCCAGTATCCATGGTTCCTTCCTCTCCCAAGCTTTTTCACTGCTGGCTCTTCACTCCTCAATCCTGGTTTAAAAACTCTAAAACTCAACCTCTGATGAATTTTCTTCTGGTTCCTCTCCATAAATGGGACCCTGAGCTCACTGCTTCCCTACAGCGTTCTCAAGTGGATGGTAGTTTTTCTATAGCTTACTCATACATTTGATCATGGCAAGGTGGGATCAAGCTGTCTCCCAAATCCTCCCACTTCAAAACCATTACTTCTCCACCCTTAAGTAAAAACCCCTGTTGCTGAGACTTTCTTGCCACCCAGCTACATCTTCCTCTACTCCTCTTTTCACTATCATCCACACAGCTCCCCACCACTCTCCACTATTCTCTCAAGACTCGGGCACCTGGATAACAGATGTTGCTTCCTTGACATCACTGCCCATGTGACCAAGTTAAGCTGACCTCCTCCGCCCCAGTGCCCTGCTTCTCCAATCAGCTTCAGCCCTTCATGCCATGGTAACACAGTGGATCTTGCCATCATGTGCCACTATCTTGTTCGTGTCATTCATAATGTGTGTGTGTGGCATTTTTTGGTGTGTTTTGTTGTTGTTTTTGTTTTGTTGTGATGGTGACCAATGTCTTCTCCTATGGAACGCCGATGGATACCTCTCATTTCTTCTCTGCAGCATTTGGCATTGTTGACCTTCCTGAAGCTCTCTCCCCTTAATACCACAATCTTTTAATTTTTCTCCTACTTCTCTAACTGCTCCTTTTGTAGGTTCTATCCACTTCCTCTACCGATCTCTAATATATTGAAATTCCTTAGGGCTTCATCCTTGACCTTCTCTTACCACTCCACCTACTCTCCCTTGGTCATCTTATCCACTAACGGCCTCAGTTAACAACTGTAGTTAACAACTGTATTCTGAAGGTTTCAAAATCTTTAACTCCAACTCAGATTCTTTCTTGAACTTTAGATCCATATAGTCTAAAGTTCACTTGGACATCCCATAATCACCTCAAACTCAGAATGTCCAAAACCTAACTCACTATTTCCCTCTAAAATCTACTTTCCTCTCTCCCCCTCTCTCTCTCCCTCTCTCTCTCTCTCTTTTTCTCTCTCTCAGTGAATAGTGCCATTATCCATCAAAATATGCAAAGCTAGAAAAATCATTGCTGGCCCTTCTGTCTGTTGTGAATTCTGGCTAAGTAATTGATCACATATATGTCCATGTTCCTCCACCATCATCTCACCTATGCACCACTGTTGTCTTGATTAGCCTCACTGTCAAGGCTGGGACCCCAACAGACACCAGCCTTTAGGGAATGACTAGAGGAAATGGGAGGATGGGGTAGGAATAGAAAAAAACAAAGAGAGAGTGAGGTCAGGAAACTATAACATTTCCCAAAAATGTCTTGCCCTTTCCCAAACTATTCACCCCAGTGTCATCAGTGTCATGTAGAGGAAGCTTTACAAAAAGAAGAATCTGAATTTATCTCTTCCTTGTTTAAAATCATTTAATGGCTCCTCATATGGAATAACATGACATAGCTAGGCCCTTCATGCTCTGGCTCCTACTTACCTCTCAAGTCTCATGTCTAACCATCCCCAACTCTTATTTCCAAACTTCCAGCCTTACAAATTATCATCAGTTCTTGGAATATACCATGCCTTCTCTAGCATCCCAGCTTTTTCACTGCTGCCTCCACTATGAGGAACTAATCCCTACTCCCACCTGCTTTGATTGAATTACTTCCTCCTTTCTGCCTCCTTGTGCCCATAATATATCCCTCTATTTATCAGTGTGTTCCTCACAAATCTACAAAGTCCTTGCAGTCAAGCATAATTTTCAACTGTATTCTTGGTGTTTGTGACACTCTCAACCAGACCTTCCTTAGAATTGTCTCTTCCCTTGACTTCCATGAAAATGTATTTTTCTGGATCCTCTGCATTCCTAAAAGCTGCTTCACTTTGTCTCTTGCTGTCCCATTCCTCTTCTTGTCCCCTAAAGGCAAAAGTTTTATCATCAGTCCTTTTTCCTTTGTGGATTTGCTCTTTTGTTATCCACTCTCTTGTCTATACCTACAACCTCCTTGTGCCGATTGCCCTCAAATTTACATCTCCAGCTCATATGTCCCTCCTGAGCACCAATCTCCTCTTCAGCTGCCTGCTGCTCATTTCCTTTTGGATATCCCACCTCAACTAGGAGCTCATTCTGTCTAAAACAGAACTCCTCATCTTCTCCAAACCAACTTCTATGTCTATTAGTAGAGCTATAATTCTCCTGGTCAGTAAAACTCAAAATCAGTCATGTTTGGCCACAATCTTTCCCTCCTCATGTCCAGTTAGTCACCATATCCTGGATGAACTCTTCATTGTTTCTATCTTTCACATTCCTTTCCATTCTTACCTTCACTACTATAATTTAGGCCTTTATTACTCCTTACCTAGATCCTTGATACTCAAAGTTTGGTCCTTGACCAGCAGTATCTGTATTATCCATGTTAGAAGTGGAAGCTCAGGCCTCACCCTAGACCTCCTGGATCAGATCCCTGGGTCATTCATCTGCTCACTGAAGTTTGAGAAGCACTGGGCTAGACCACGTCAATAAACTCCTAACTGGAATTTCTGACTCCAGTCTCCTCCCTTTAGTCCATCCCACAGACCACAGTTACATAAATTTCTTTCTGATCACGTCATTCTCTCTCAACTTAAGCCTCTTTAATGACTCTAATGTCCAAGGAATAAAGTCCACATCTTAGAAAATGAGGCTCTTAACCACCTGCACAATCTATTGCCCCAGACTTATGTACCCAATTTTGCTAACATATTCTATATGTCAGGCCAACAGAACCAGAGATGCAATATGGCAGTAGTGCAAAAACATCCTAACCAAGAATCACATTTAGCAATGGCAAAAGCTGGTTGTATAATCTCAGGCAAAATGTGTGTCCTCTTAAACCTTAGATTCCAATTCTGCAAAACAAGGAAGCTAGATCAGCCCAGTGTTTTTAAAGCTTTTTTTTTTTTTTTTTACTGCAACCACAGTAAGAAATATATATGTACCCAGTATTCACATCCATACCTAGATATAAGCACAATTTCAACTGGAACAAAAGTTGCACAAAATATTTTCTCTTCTCTTCTCACCTATTCCTTTTCTTTTTTTAAAATGTTGGTTGCTAATCACCAAATTGATTTCATAACTCACTAATGGGTCAGAACCTGAAGACTGAAAACCACTATTGGCCCCCTCACGCTAACAATCCATGACCCTGGGATCCTCTTCCTTGGACACATCCTCTATTTCCCTGCTCTGTACCTTTAGTGAAAACATTCCTTCTTTCTGTAACATCTTCCCCTATTTCAGCCTCTTAAAATGCAATGTATTTTTTAAGTCCTGGCTTAATGAAACCTCTTAAAATGAGAAAACGTGTCTTACTTCTTTACACATCTACAATACTAGGTCTTATTTCTTACTTGTATGTGAGTCACATTAACCTGAAAATCTTTCTCACAGTTATTTTTTTCTCCAACCATTCTTCTATTTGATCAACACCTCTAGCCTAGTTCCCTGACTCTTCTGCTTTCTACGTAGCTATCAGCAACCTGCCTACCCTCGCTTCCTTCCCTCAGTATAGAAGCCATGAGCCATCATTTTAACCTTTCAACATTCTCTTCAATTCCCTTGCCAAACTGTCTTTTCCTCTCACTTATCTGGCAAAATCCCAATTCTGAATCAATAAACTATCTACTTTCTCTGTTCCTCTACTCTAATTGCTAAGCACTGTCATTTTTTAAAAAAAATCCCAGGATCATGCAGATAATTTAATGATTTTCATTCTCATTTGAATTTTTAACATACTATTAGACTGTCTTGGTTTCCCTAGTTAGTTCTCTATCCCATTCTTCAATAGCTATTAAGATCTCTTTCACTCCCCTCAACCCCTCTGTCTTCAAGCCTTTCCCCTGTTGCCTCCAAGAGTAGATTAAGCCCCTTATTAAGAGTTCTCATAATATTCCTATCAACATGGCCATAGTCTTATCACTTTGCTTCTCACTGCCATGTATCTTATTGGGCTTTAAGCACACTGAAAATAAGAATCACAACTTATTAATTAGTTAAACCTAAGAACTTAATATAATACTAAGTACTCAATAAATATTTCTTGAATGAATGAATGAATGAATCCATAAATTATTAAATGAATGAGCACATCATATACAAATCTCACANATTTCTTGAATGAATGAATGAATGAATCCATAAATTATTAAATGAATGAGTACATCATATACAAATCTCACGNTTTCTTGAATGAATGAATGAATGAATCCATAAATTATTAAATGAATGAGCACATCATATACAAATCTCACATGGTTAGGTTAAGTGCCAATCAATTAATTAGTGCCAATAAAACCTTAGGGAATGAAAAGTATAAAATACAAACGGTTTCTAAATTTTATAACACATGTAGAATTAAACTTAGTTAAGGCAATTATTATTTCTATTCTAATGACTGGAAAAATGGAAGCTAGTCCCATAGATAACAGAATCTGATAGGCCAAAGGGTAACTGATGAAGATCTAACAAAGGTAGTTTGTTTGCTAATTCTAGTGGGGAACTATAAATACAACACAAATTTTATCACAGACCATAGTCGTCTGCCATGAAAAAGGTATTTATTTGATGATGGCCTAACTTCACTTTTTTCTTTTTAATGCAATTCTTTTTACTTGCCTTATGCTTCTAGGGACACATTTGCATGATGGTAATGACTGACAAGGTTCAGCTGCCCAGAAAACAGCTAAACATTGCTCCATATCTTGCGGGACAACTTTTTTAAAAAACCTTTTGTCTAGAATATCAATGATGACATCTTATTAAGTATCCTGGGACTTTGCTTTGCACTGTCAATCTGTTTCCAAATTCTCCTGTTATGGGCAAGCTGGAGAGGCCTGACCCTCAAAGTACTCACCATGACATTGTGAGGATGCAGCCCTCCCGGGTGCTGAGACATGTACTGAGCCAGGTCTGTGTGCTGCGTGAAACGGTGGAGAGACTGATGTTAGTGGCGCTTGCACGGTGCCCTAAAGCAGACCACAGATTTGACTGTCAAAGGCATTACAAAGTTCAGAATTTTTTCAAGTAAGGTGCAGAAGGTACATCGCCAGGTTTCCTGAGACCCCACTGTTAAGGTCAAACAGTGTGCCTTCTAACTGGCTACTCTCAGAAGGAAGCTTGTTTCTTGGCACAAAGAGATGCTCGTCTTAAATGACTCTCACTGAGCACAATGACACAGGGATTTTTCACTCTTCTTGGAGGCAAGTCAAGTACATGTACCTTATGGTTTCTTTCTGCTAAGTACATATACCTTATGATTCTTCCTACTAATATTTGAATAGTTTTTCTTTTCAAAAATACTAAAATGAGCCCAGCTGGGCGTGGCTCAGCAGTTGAGCATCGACCTAGGATCCAGGAGATCGCGGTTCAATTCCCGGTCAGGGCACATGCCCGGGTTGCGGGCTCGATCCCCAGTTGGGGGCGTGTAGGAGGCAGCCGATCAATGACTCTCTCATCATTGATGTTTCTATCTCTCTCTCTCTCTGAAATCAATAAAGATATTTTTAAAAAATACTAAAATGAGTAATTCTTTAGTAAACTTGTATACCATTTTTTTAAAACCTTGTGATTTATGTCTTCATTGTCTATGGGAAAATGTTGGGTTCTGCTCAGATGGTGATCAAAAGTAGATTTTAAAAAGGGCAAAAGTTTTTAAAATTTTGAAGCTAACTCAAAATTCTTATTTATTATTGCTGATGAGGGGAAAAAGACAGCAAATACAGTGGGTAAAGAAGCAAGATTAAAGAATGAGCATAAGAACGACAGTCTCTGTTAATCATAATGAACATTTCCATGACACTTTCCACATTGTAATGAAATTTTTATCATGCTATAAAATATTAACAGATTCATTATACAAGCACCAGGCTTTTCCCTCATGCTTCGGAAAATGCTGGGGCAACTCACCATGTATTCGAAAACGAATGTCAGTGTCTCTTTGGTGTGGATTATGTCATGCAGGAGCACAATATTGGCATGTTTCAGACCCTTCAAAAGAGAAGCTAGAAAAATTCAACAAAATGTTAATTCAATCATTGATAATGAAAGCACTGCTTTAAAGATATCAAGCATTATTTATTTTTTAAACACTTCAAATGAAGCATTCTGGTTTTTTATTGCTGGAAAAAATCTCTTATGAAATAATATTTAAAATTACAAAGGACCTTCATTATTTGTTAAATGGTGAGTCATTTCATTTGCATACCTTACTTTTTAGGCTAGAGCAGTTGCAAAAAAATATGTTTCCATTTACCCAATCAATTTCATCAAAGCACTCAGAGCACTTTGCTAGTGCTTTCCTCTGGGAATCTTATCTCTGCTTCAGAGTTGCAGGAGAGGAGGCCTGGAGAGATAAAGGCCGTTGGGGGAGCAGGAAATGCAGTATTCTGTCTTCTAGAGCAGGACTTTGCAACATCTGACCATTTTCTAAAATTTAAAGTTCCACAGGGGCTCAGCATGGCTAGTGGACGGGATTGGTAGAAGGCAGGGATAAGAGCATGGGATGAAAAATGGTTAAAACATAATAAAGAGTGGAGGGGATTTCTTAAAGGGAGAATTGTAAACCTCTGTGGCAGGAGAAAATGCAAACTTAAAAAGAGGACAGGGTCAAACTTGGGAGCCCAGAGGAGTGAGAGCGGGGAGGGCTGAGGACTGTCTCTTGCAGCTTTAATAACAGGTTGATATTGGTCAGTAAGGGCAGCCTTAAAGGGGAGAAGTCACCACAAAAGGCCAGTGAGTGGCTGGCAGGGGGTTTAAAAGGATGTGTCTTTGGGGGTTCCAGAGATAAGAAGACCAGAAGGGTAGAGAGCAGAAAAGGCACAAAAAGGAGATGGTGAGTCTTAACTCAGGACATTGCCGGTATGTAGAAAGTGTCCTTAAGACTTAAAGGAAAGGAAAATCAAAACTCAAATCAAAACTCAAATCAGGGTCTGCAGGGTGTGCTGTACATCGTGAACCTCCTACGCCAACTTTCTTCCAGATTAAAAACAGATTCATGCTCCGCTCAAATTTTGGAACAAAATTACCTCCTTCAGTCATTTTATCGCATTGTAATGATCCTCTGTTGTTTTGCCCTCCTGGCAGCCATTCCCCCTTCTAGTGGGTGCACCTCTATTTTCCTCTGGGGAAACAATCCCATCCCACTCAGTCTATGCTATTCTGGTGGGGCCGACCCTACCCCAACCCGAGACTGGGCATGTGACCCAGGGTGGTCCAGTCAGAGCACAGCACCCTTTGCCAGGGTGACTGGTTCAGAAACCGGCACAAAATCCAAGCCTGGGAGAGCCCTACTTCGCTGGTGTCATCAGGATAGAAGTGCTTTCTTTTCCACGGTGAGAGCTGAGCTTCTAGGATTTAGCCAGGGACTGCTCTGGCCAGATTACCAGTACCTGGGAATAAAACTAAGGAAGAAAAAAACAGTGCTGGGAATGAACAGGCATGCATTCCTGGTGACATCATTTGCTCCCTGCTAGTTTGCAGTTATCAGATCTCTGAGCCAGCAAATTTCCTTCTTTATTCACCTGAGTTTGAGCTGGCAACCTCTTACCACCCAAGGAGACATAGTCTACCCATTAGTCCTACTTTGCTCTAATGACTAATACTATAACTTTTTGCCCCCTAAATCCTTATGAGCTAAATTTATTATTTCACTCTTACAAGTACATTGCTTTGTAAATGTAGTATACAGTTTTACAGGCATCTGTTTAATGTCCCTAGTCCCAGACTGAAGTCTATATGCGAATAGAGGGAGTGACTTTCCCTTTCAGATGCCGACACACCTCCTAGTACAATGCTCAGCCAAGAGTAAGCACTTAATTTATCAAATATATTTATTGAGTGTCTTAACGGAGAGCCGACTGTGGAGCCAGAAGCTCTAATGTGAATCTGGCCCTGTTACTTTCTATCCAAGTGAGCTCAGGACAGTATCTCAACCCGTCTCAGTTCACTCCTTATGAAAAAGAGATAACGCCTTCCTGACTTGATTTCATAGGGTTGACATGAGGATGGAACCAGCACCCATGCATGGATCCCTGGCAAATGTCAAGCACCACACAGTTGCAAATTAGAATTAATATCCCAGCCATCAGGTACTTGGGCCTCCCTTTCACCTTGAACCCCACTAAATCCCCACTCCCATATTAATATCTTAAAACTTTGTTTATGTCAACTCATAGATACAGAGAACATTTTGATGGTTTCCAGATGGAAGGAGGGTTGGGGGGTTGGGTGAAAAGACGAAAGGATTAAGATGTGCAAATTGCCAGTTATAAAAACAGTGATGGGAATGTAAAGTATAGTAAATGGAATATAGTCAATAATACTGCAATAACTATATATGGTGCCAGGTGGTTGATCATTTTATAAGTTATATAAATGTCTAATCACTATGTTGTATGCCTGAAACTAATATAATATTGTATTTGTTGTATTCAGTTGTAATTTTAAAAAATTTTAAATTTTGTTTATGTCCGTTTCTGCTAGTTTTCAACGCCTTCCGTACTTACCATGACTTCTACCAGTTAAATATGCTTATATTTTATGTGTATTTTTATTTGTAACTTATGTTCATTTTCTCTCTCTCTCTATGCCGCCTCCAACACACGATATTACAAAACACGCACCAAAAGTAGATTTTAAAAGGATATGGTAAAGCTAAAATTGCTAAGAATACAATAAAGATATTTAAATTTATTTTTAATACAAAATTTAGTCTCACTTAAGTATGATATTAGTAAAACTCCTGATGCTTATTTTTAAAATCGTGGCGGCATGTTTTGTTAATTATAATGGCTTCATACTATCATTTACTAAAAAGCTCAAAGAATGATATTCACTTAGAATGAGGCTCACTGCTAACATCAGTGGCTATAAATCTTTATTTCATGCAGTTTTCTTGATAACTTCTTCCCTTATCAGCTCACACTCCTGTCCCTGCTCACTTGGCTCCAGCCACATTGGCCTCCTGCCTGTCCCGTGGACACTTTCAAACACTTTCTTCCCTGGGTCCCGACACTCCCTTTGTCCCTGCCTGTGACGTCTTGTCTCAGCTCTGCGCCTGCTGCCTCCCTCGCCTCCTTCAGGCCTCTGCTCAAAGCCTCGGCTGCCCCGACGTGCCCCACCCCAGCTGTCTCCATCCCTGTGCCCCACTTTATTCTTCATAGAACTGATCACCCCTGACATATTTAAGCATTTATTACCCTTGACCGATTATATATGTGTGTTGTCTGTTTTCACCCATAAGAATATAAGTTCCATTAAAAGCAGGCACTTTTGTCTTCTGCTTATTGCTATATCTTCAGTGTCTAGAACAATGCCTGCTATATTTTAAGCATTCAGTAAATATTTACTATCGAGTTAGTGGTCATTAATTGCCTAATTCATTTCTATATCTATAATCGGTTGGTATTGGGTGTTTCTGCTGAAGATGCTTTTATTTCTTGTTTCTTTTAGTTGTCTTTCTCATTAAATTATAAGTGTTGTATTTGTTATGGTCATGTCTGCTACTGCTTTTTTTTTTTTCTTTTCACCAAAAACCACTGAAATTCAGGGAAACTGTGACTTTTGATGAATAATAGTGGGGAATTTACATGAAAGAGTAGATGATGTTTAAAGTGTTTATCTCGTGGTGTTGGTATGTTGTTTGGTCCATCCGCTGGAGGGATCTAAAATGCGCACAGCCTCAGATGTGTGGGTCTCAAACCCAGAAAGAAAGATCTTTCTTCTAATTTCAAGGCTGCCTCATAAACTTCGCAGCAGGATATGGTGTGTTCTGCAGGCTAATCAGCTGAGGGATGCAAAGCCAACTGAGAAGGGAAAGATCTTAAAATCAGAGCATTCTGATTCCTGTAAAATTATTGTTTTTATAATTCACGTATTCTAAGTCTACTAATTTTTGTTTCTCTTCAAAGAAAAGACACAAAGATGAATTGGGGAGTCTTTAAAGCTCCAGACAAATGAAATCACGATGGAATTTCTTTGAGTGCTTCCAAAATACTTTGATAATGATGATGATGATGATGATGATGATGATAGCTAACACTGAGCATTTACCACATACCAGCCACTGTTGTAAGAATTCTGCGTATATTAAATAGGGACCGACTCATAGACAGTGAGCAGGCAGATAGCTCGGGGCGGGGAGGAGGCCTAGAGGGGTTAAGCAAAAAGGAAAAGAGAGAGAGAGAGAGAACTCATGGACATGGACAACAGGGCAGTGATGGCCGGGTTGGGGAATGGGGAAGAGGGCAGAGANGCGGGGAGGAGGCCTAGAGGGGTTAAGCAAAAAGGAAAAGAGAGAGAGAGAGAACTCATGGACATGGACAACAGGGCGGTGATGGCTGGGTTGGGGAATGGGGAAGAGGGCATAGGGGGGATAAATGGTGATGGAAAAAATAAAATAAATGTGAAAAAAAGCCACCTTTGTATATATTAGCTTGGTATGATCATGAGAACACCAAGAAAAGCCAACATGATCCCAAAACAACATGATCCCAAAGATCAAGAAAAATGACCCAAGACTGAAAGTTATTAAGCTCGTTTAAAAAATGCAAAGTATTTCCTTCTTTATTTGAAATGTCCAAAAAGGTGTTTCCTATGACTAACTGGCTTAATAGTCCATGAAATTTAATTTGATTCTCATATATGTAATATATTTAATAATTTAGAAAAGAGTTATCATTCATCTTGCAATTATATGAGAATATTTAACTTCTTGGTTTTGTTCATTTCTTTGGGGTTTGTGGTTCAGTTCAGTTTTATGAAAATTGATGCTTATTTTGATTGTTACTCTATTCTGTTCTGCTTTAGTTTAGAAGGAAAGGTAAAAGATGCTGATGACCAGGGAGAACAAGGCCGATTCTCAAAGTTCTAGGGCACAGTTCTATATAGCAAGTACCTGGTAGTCAGAGCCCTTTCTAGGCTGTGAGCTCCTCAAGGGCATGGACTGTCCCTCTCTGTGTCTTTGCATATCCAGCATGTAGCACAGGCCTGGCATGTGGTGCTCAATAAGGGTTTGTGAATTAATGAAGACCAGACAGTTGTAATGAGTTTATGTAGGAGTCAATAATAGAGCCAGTTCCTACCCCCACCCCCACTGGGCACTGAATTAAAAAGAGCCTGTAGTTCCTGGTGTTGCATTTGCTCTGGCCCGGGTGTCACACATCAAGTCAATGAGTCAACTTATGCATTCCAAGAAAAGAAATCATCAAGGTAAGTATTAAGACAAATGTTAAATAAGTAGTTATTATCTGAATCTTTGGAATTGTAATTTGATCATATAGCATCATCCTGGCGTCATTTTTAAAAATGTAATTATGCACATGTAAATATGCTATGTCCATGATGCGACTTGATGGCACTCAGTGGAGAACTTCTTGTCAACCTGACCTGCTGAAATCTATTTGTGGTAATCAATGAGTCAGCGGTTCTGATTGGTATTCTGTACCTCCCTGCATGACCTCAGGGAGGTTCCTAAGTCTATTTTTGGCTCAGTTTTCTTATATAAGGACTGGGAATAATTACTTTGTAATGTTTTTTACTAAGGAATAATCTTAAAAGATTCTTAGCTAAAACTGTTTCTAATTTAAACACTGCAATTACTGGTGCTACATGTAAGTCCATGATAGAATCAGAATTGACAAATATTATATATTATTTTCTTTAAAATGTTTCTCCTGCATTTTGCTTAACATTTATGCAAAATGTATCATAAAAACAGATTTCTATTTTTACTGTTGCTAAAAAAGAAATGCTTGTTATAAATTTATCACAATAAAATAGAAAGGATTTTGAATAGAAGAAATTGGATTCTACTACCTAACAACTCCGATTACTAGTTCTGAGATCTCAGATAAGTTACCTAACCTCTCTGAGATTCAGATTCCTTCATCTCTACAATAAAAACAACAGACTTTACCTCCTAGAGTTGGTGAAAGGGTTTTCAAAAAAGATAATGTGGTGGTGGTGGAGGGGAGATTATGTCACAAGTCTAGTCCTCAAAAAAGATTAGTTATATAACTCATTCCTAAACAAATGCTGCTAACAGGCCAAAAGTCCTGGGTTTAAACCAAAAGTTTCTAATTATATAGGAAGATATTTAAAATAATGCACATTAAGATATTGATACACAGTTCAATAAAACTAGGGAACTATTCAAAGNAACCAAAAGTTTCTAATTATATAGGAAGATATTTAAAATAATGCACATTACTAAGATATTGATACACAGTTTAATAAAACTAGGGAACTATTCAAATGAAAGTGCTTTCTCCTAGTTGTAAAAATAAACATTTAAAATGTAATTCTAGAGCCAGTTATGAAAGATTTTTCTCAGTTGTTATGAAGGTAGCTAATCCCTTTTTAAAAATGTGTTTTTATTGATTTCAGAGAGAGGAAGGGAGAGGGAGATAAAAACATCAATGATGAGAGAGTCATCGATCGGCTGCCTCCTGTGCCTGACCGGGAATCGAACCACGACCTCCAAGGGTTCATGAGTCTAGGCTCAACCACGGAGCCACACTGGCTGGGCAGCTAATCTTTTTAATTAGCAAAGGAGTGAGGGTAGAGAACATGTCTATTGTGTACACTACTGGGTGTCTAGTGGCCAGCAGAGTACCTGGCCATAGTAGGTGCTCAATAAATACTTGTGGAATGAATGCATAGAGAGTGTAAATTTTTGAATCAGAGAGATTTGGTTTGAATTACAGCTATATATTAGAAGAACATCTATCTTCAAAGGTTGTTAGGAGAACTGAAAGAGGTAACCTGTGAAAATTATCTGGCATGGGTGGGTATTAAGATGTGTTTCCCTTAGCGCTGTTCATACTTTTGCTAATTTCATAATATTACATGTGAAGATCAAATAGTATTCCAAATGACCAAATTAATAAACTGCCACATGTATTCTACTTATATAGAGACCATACATATAGTGAAACCCTACTCAATAAATCTTTGGCTGATATATCATCAGTCCAGCCAAACTGTTCAGGAAAAGTAATTCCTTCTTCAAGGCTTTTTAAAGAAGTCTGCATTACTTGCTCAGTTTTTCTGCACGTGGCTTTCAGTTGCCTTTTTAACTAGTGACCCTGGATTTTAACTAATGAATTCCAGCTGTTCTTATTTTGCCTTCCAGCCCTTCTCATTTAACCTCCTGTCTCCCTGGCCTCACATCCTTTAAGTTCTTACAGGAAAAGTGGGACAGTGCCAAAGTTTTCAAATGAGGTCTCCTATCTTCTTGAGGGGAGAGGGCTACTCTAACAAGGCTCCCAGCTTTTACACTGGTGGAAAAAGAAACATTCATTGTTGGAAATTAGATGCCTAATGATCTCCAAAGTGTCCCAAATCCTTCTGTGGTTTTTAATATTATAAAGCAAAGCATTCAGTAAGGTAAGTCCATAAAGCAAACCTACAAAGTCCACACTTGAATGCTAAATGTAATTGCAAACACCTGCGATGGAGA